AAATCTGTGATATTAAGAAGTAGAGAGAAGGTCATAAGTGGAGTTTTTCATCTCGATGAAGGAGGTCCACGTGGTCAGATTGAATTTCTCTATTAACTGTGGTTGACACCTTAAGTGCCCAACTTGCAGGACAAAAGAAAGGAGATTCCATAACAACCTAATTTTCCTTCTTTCCTTCTCTAATTCTATTAGTATTAGTATTAATCTAAAATAATTTAGTTTTAATTAGTAATATAAGATGATGGAAACAGATTTGCCACTTGCTGGTTTCGGGATTCACAATTGTCAGGAAAACAAATAGTACTGTTAAGAAAGGGCAATGGAAAGGAGAATATCGTAAGTTAATGTTAAGAGAAAATAAATTCATATTATCCTAAATGAAAGGTGATTTAATGTATATTGATTATTGTGGACACAGATCCCTTATTGTCTGATGGTCCCAAGATGAGTTGTTTAACTGAACCCTCAAACAAGATGATGATGAGATTTAAGTCAGACTTGGTCTACATTGAGGTTGACAGCAGAGGTGACTCCAGGAATAGTGATGTTCAGCCAGAAGGAGAAGTATTTAGGATGAAAAGAGTGAACTTTGCTGAAGACGGAAGTTCAATTGGAAAGTTTTAAGAGAGAGATGTAGACAGAACTGTACAAAGTTTCATTTGGAGAAGAGAGTGAGAAAGCTGCACAAGTTAATTGCAAAGAAGAATGACCCTTTAAGAGGAACAAAGAAACTGATGGAAGGAACTTTTGTGGATAAAGAGCCTCATGCACTTGAGACATAGATTATAAAGGGTTTGTCTCTTGATCAGACATCTCAATTGGTCTCATATCTGTTTCCATGGATAATTTGAGACCAACTTGGAAAAGCTCATGGAAACTATGGAAAAGCTCAATACAGTAGAGCCTCGAAAACTTGGCTTAATGTGGACCGAAGGGTGGCCGAGTTTGTGAAAATGCCGGGTTATCGGGAATGGGGTTAAAAAAAATAAGTATGAGTGTTTACTCAGAAAATACTGTACTGTACTTGTATGTATTGTTTACTTGAGAATGCAACAGAGAATAAACTGCCCAAATACCCTTAAACAAAGGAAAAGTACGTCCTTTATGAAGGCATAGAGCCTTTACTACATGAAAATGAAAATTAATGAATACACAGGCCTGTGGAGTCACGTAAAAATCTACTGACTCCGACTCTTCCTTACCATCTGACTCCGACCAGGGGCGGACTTGTTACCAGAGACCTGGAAATTCTGGTGTCATCATGTGGCCTCAGAATAAAATATCCAATAAATAGAGTTATAATAAAGATAGAGCGTAGAAAATTTTTATTCCAAAGCTAAAAGACTTCTCTAAGTAATGACACAATCAATATATGAATGTGTATTTGATAATTTTTACTTTTTTGGCTGTTATATACAACAGAGAAAAGTGTAGCGCTCAGTCAAACAATGTCCACTCCCAAATTTTTACATTTTTGGACTCAGGACACCTTGAAATTTCAAGATATGCAAAAAATTCAAGGTTTTTTTTTATATGTATGGATGTTAGACTGTGTGTGTGGAGCATGATTTTGTTCACCCTGTTTGAAGCCTAATAATTTTTGTGGTCAGAGTGGTCATAATCAGAGTCAGATGGTTTAACACAGAAGTTAGTTATTAAGCGTCAAAGCGGTTGAACTAAATCATATCCCCATACATATTCTAACATCTTAGGCGAGAACATCTTAACGGGTTTTACTGTACTATTATAAAATGACAAAAAGCTTACTTTGAAGGTAGAGACGAGTTTTATTTTATTTTATTTTTTTAAATTTTGAATGCTAATAACGTGTAAAATATTCATTAAGAGATATGACACATGACCTCTTTTATGTCTACACCCTGTCGACCTTTAATTAAGAACAAAAATTTAATAGTATTAATGCCGCTTTATACGTAAGCTACAGTGCCACATTTCGTTTCTTAAACTTCACCCATTCTGTTTAATATCTCAGAACAGAAAATAAAGAAATTAAACAAATTAGATGCCAACACACACGCGCGTGCTAATTTTTCCTCTTTTATTGACTTTTTGGGGGTTCGGGAGGTCTCCAAATGCATAGATTTGCAAAAAAGACTTGGAGGGTCAAATTTGACACGATTCCAATACTTTTCCGTTTTATATACATAACAAGTTGGAAAGTAAAAGGAGTCAGAGTCGGCGGATTTTTTGATGACTCCGACTCCGGCTAAAACACCAAAACTCCATGACTCCGACTCCACAGCCCTGCTTGTAAAACAAAAAATTTTATTTAATAAGTAAATTTAATCTGATAGTATTTTTAATTGTTTGCCAATTTATTTTTCAGTAATTGCTGTTTTACAGCAATAATAAAGAAATACTCTTATTGAAATCATATATGTAAGTACAGTGTAAAGGAATGAAGGTGCTTTTTACTTCATACAATAGATTGTTTTTTGATATCCTACTAGATGTAATTCTAATTATTTACTATTAACTAAAGAACATTAGTTAAATTTTAGCATTAACTAATGTTCTTAATTAGTTCAGAAACTTTAAATAATTTTAAATATTTGAAATTCAGAGAAAGCAAAAATTATTTCATTAAATACATAATTGAAATTGAAATTAATAAATCAATAATTAAGCTCTTTTATTATAGATAAAAAAGTCAAAAATTGTCTTGCATTGTTTTTCAGAATACTTGCTGTGTTTTTCAACTTAAAAGTTATTATGCAGGTTCCAAATATTATATACGAAAGCTGAATTCATAATTACTGGAAATCAAACATTGGCATAATGTAGATCTCATAATTTTTAAACAGATGAATGTATTCAAGTACTGCTGATAAATCTCAGTTTATACCAAAAAATAATAATGCACATTTGATATAAAATTATTACTTTTTAAAATCATTTAAAGAATTAAGTAGTGTTATATTTATATAACATATGCAGATTATACATCATAAAAGATCTACTGTAATTGAAATTTATTGATTTTTAAACATACATTCTTCTTTAACTGAATTTAATTAATACTCAAACCTCAACACAAAAACCTTTTAGAATGCAGCCATTTTATTCAATTTTCTAATGTTTTCAGCCAGTTTGAATGGCCTTCATCAGGAACAAAAAAATCGAATGATTCCGATTTCTAAAACGACATTTGTTCTGGAACATTTTAAATTTTTTTGAATTTTCTTAGATGTCTAGTGCGCATGCTCATATATAAATAATTACAATCTATATTGGTACTTGTACCAATATACACATAAACTGTACATACATATAATACATGAGTAAATAACTAACTAAATAAAATAAAATAAATAAGTAAATAAATATATAAATACAATAAATATGTAAATAAATACAAAAATACATAACACAATTGCTAATATAGAGAAGAACATCATAGTGCTTGCTTCTTTAACTGCTCATCCTTTTATTTTATAATAGAATATTCAAATTAAGCCCACTCTCCAAGCTTCTGAGATTTTACTGGACTCTCTAAAGTTTATTGCTAATCCTTCTTGTTTGTCTTATGTATCTGCCATGCTTCTGCATATTTCAAGTGTCTCTTGTCCCGGACCTTTTGTATTATTTTAACGCTTTCTCAATTTACAGTGACTTCTGTTGAGTCTGCTATAACATACATTGCTAGTGCAGTGACTGTTTGCTCATTCTGCACATTCCTTTTATGCCCTTTTAGCCTTTCTTTTAATGATCTCTCTGTGGCTCTGATGTAGTATAGCTCTTCTTGTTGCCTTTTGTCTTGTACTAGTATTCTATATATTCCTGGAATCAAGGAATTTTTCTGTTCCTGACGAAGACCATTCAAACTGGCCAAAAACGTTAGAAAATTGAATAAAAAGGCTGCATTTTAAAGGTTTTTGTGTCGAGGTTTGAGTTTTAAAGATACAGTATATTACAGGGGTGGGCAAGCAAGAGTTTAGTGGGAGCCGAAATGTAGGTTTTGCAAAATGTATGGGAGCTGCAGTTCTGTACTTTTTTATTCTGTACCACAGTTCTGTACTGCGATTTTATTATCTATCTATATATATATATATATATATAAAAGTGGACGTGTTTGCCCCTATATTTCACTATGCAACCAAAACTACACATCACACATGAATAGTGTTTGTGTATGGTAGTAGCCCCAAGTCTCCCATTGTGCACTATGGTGGTTGTGTCTCGATAGCTATAAGGGTCTGGGAGATATGGGGGTTTGAAAGTGGTTGACTTCAAAAATGTGTAACAATGGAAGTGTTAACAATGGAAGTGTTATGTAACAATGGAATTGTTAAGAGAAAGCGGCGTGCAAGATATGCAGAAGTGGTTTTTTGCATTTTTGCAAGAAATCGAACATATTTTTAGACCTATGTAAAAATTCTCTAATTAGTCTGAAAACAGGGGGACCCAATTCTTGCATTCTGTGAAAACGGGTAAGGTTGACTATAATGTAATAATCTTAATCTTCGCAATCGTTTCTTTTGCCCTAGCAACGCCGGGTCTACCTGCTAGTTATATAATATTTACATAAAAACTTTACTAATATCTGAATGCCTATTAAATTATAATTGATTAAAAATTTATTTTATAATTAAAAACTTAAGGAAGTTTTTCTTAAATATAAATCCAACTCAAACTGCTTTTCTTGGAGCAATAACATTTTAGATAACTCAAGCACTCTCAAGATAAATGCCCATCAAGAATCAACTGGCACTTGCTCTTTTTGATACCTGTTAATGGACATATAGCTAAAAGTGCCTGAGTTTTTTAAAAATTCTTTCTGAGAAAAGCAATTTGAATCATATTAATAATATGAAAATTTTTCAAATAAATTCCATATGTAAAAATGATTTAAAAATCATTATTTAAATAATGATTACTATTATATGTACCATTAGTAAGTTTTTATTATATTTTTATATCTTGTATTTCTGAATGAATTACTTATTCATCATATTTAAAGTGTCTTAAATTTAATCCATTAGCTATTCTTGGATTGCACAGTATGCTAAATCAAGATCAATATTATGCATCTCTTCTAAATAAAGGACAAAAGTTGGGTGATAAATTTGAAAGTAAGTACATTTTTTAAACATATTTATTTATTTTTGAATAATTTATTTTAAAATAAGTTTTCAAATACATTTTTAACTAAATTTATGTATTTAAATTAGTTTTTTACTTTGTATTTATATTAAAGGTGCTGTTCGTTCCACACAACACAAATTATTGCCTTTAGAACCTGATAATGCAACTGATGTTGATAAGACTATTGAACAAGTTTGCCAAAATGATTCTTCACTTAAATCTCTCAATTGGAATAATATAAAGGTTTTTTTTTTTTTTAANATTTAAAGGAATTTTTTCAGACTCTTAGAGAAATGAATTTTGTCCATTTAAAAATGGTATTTATATTTTAACCTTGTCAAAAAAAAAAGTGTCATTTTTCATGAAATCAAAATTTTCATTTTCTTTAAGATTTATATACATTTGTTATGTTCATAAATTAAGTTGTAGCAATATATGCTGTTGAAATTTTATTTCAAACATGGGATTTTGAGGTTTATTTTTGCACAAGCAATATTGCATTTATATAGAAACTTGTTTGGTTAATTGTTGTTGTTGTTTAAGTTAACAGAAAGTTAAGAAATTTATTGCCGTATAAATAAATTGTATACAGTTTACGGATTTCAGTGAAATATCAATATTTAATATATTATTTTTTTTCATATTAATGGTGAATGGACAATCTGTAATATATAGAATTATAATTTTCTATTTCTTTTGACTTAAATGTACTATTGTATGTAATTTAAATGCTAGACGATATCTTTATCTATATAAACCATATAAAATTTTCAATTATAGAATTAACTATTTAATTTATTACTTAGTTTCCGTATTAACAATATTATTTTAAAAATACTTTCTAAAATCATGTTAAAATAAGTAACTGTTTTTAAATAATTTTATTTATTTAAACTGTGATAGATTAAAAATTTTTTAAAACATAATGTTGTTATTTCACTGATATATATTTTTTTTTTTTTAATTTAGAAAAAAATTTATTTGGTTCTTAACCTTTGTACTACAAACAAATGCTATGATGACTCCATTTAATATGATTTGCTCTTTTAGTATTCCTTTTTCAGGATTCTTTTTGATAGTACTTTTTTCAATACTGCATCCTAAGCATTAACTGGGGTACAAGTGTAAATTTACAGCATATTAATGTTAAAATTCTTATGTAATATATATATGTAGCTACTGTTTCTAGAAATGTATTGTAAATAATGTGTTTTGGTTAGAAATTTACTTCCTACAAATCATCAGATGTAGATTAAAGAAGTGAATAATGTAAACTAAATATCCACAAAATAGTAGTGAGATTTCTTATGATTTATTTGAGTTTATATTTCTTTTTACTTTTAATGCTTTTTGATTCCCATAAACCATTTTAACAGCAAATATCAAATAATTGCACAATTTATTAAAATAAATCTGAAAAAATATTAGTTGAGAAAACTGAAGAAGTAGGTATAAAGTTGCTTTAAACAATTTTGTTGTTTAAAGGATATTTTATACCTACTCCTTCAGTTTTCTAACATATAAGTTACCTCTCCCTTTTTATCAGCACCATCTTGTTTTAGCTGTTCTAATGATTATTATATCATTCTTTCTCATTTGTTTCATTACCAACCAATCCTCTCAGTCATTCTCTCCCTCTTATTCCTTAGTACTTTTGCAAGTGTCTGTATTCATTCTTCTATTTTTGGGGCAGTTGGGGCATGTTCCCCCCTTTTTGTCTCATTTGCCCTTTTTCTAATTTCCAAGAGATACCCAAACAACAGAAAATTCATGACTTCTAGCCTATTCTGCAAATATAAAAGAAACTAATGAAGGATATTTGTCTATTGATCCATGCAATTTTGTTGTATGTTGACCAAAATTCCCATTCTTGTTTTCAAGTTAGCTGCAAGTGCAACCAGCATCACCTTGTGGGAGTGCTGATCCAACATTGAATCATAGTATTTGAAGCTTCTTGCATAATGTATGATAATAGTGCATAATGTATGATAATAGTTCTTGCATAATGTATGATAATAGTGACCTTAAACTTTTATCTGATAGAAATCTGGTGTGACAAAATAATAATTTCTTTCATGTTTTTTTTTTATAGTGTAAGATACACACATGGTGAGTGTAATCCAACAAGAGGATAAGCATATAACACATATATGTTCTTCCTTCACCCATGTTTACTTTCTTTACAGGATTCTTTTAAAAAATTCTGACACTCCTTGTTTTTGTTCTTTTACATACAATTTCTGCAGATACTCAGACAGAATCGTTAAGTAAAATCTTTTGACAAAAAATTATTCATTGCGGCACAAAATGAAAGGAACTATGACTAAATACTTAAAACTACTTATACTAAAAAAAAAAAAGAGAGGCAGAAAAGATAGACAATAGAATAGATGGATATATGATGATAGAAAAGAATGGGTACCCAAAGTGTCGATGATCTTGGGGGTGATTGCTGAATTATTAGGAATTGTAGGAATTGTTGATTGCAGAACTCTATCAGGTTCTCTCAATAAGCTTCCAAAGATCCTTATAACAAGATATATTTCAGGCTCCTGTCGAATGCTAGCTTAGGCTTATTGTCTCCTTTGTTCTCCAGTCGATGCCAGCATGACCTGGAGATCCTCACAACATGTCTTATCCCTTCTTCAGTCTGGAGTTATTTATTGTCTTTATTAATATTGACAAGACATCTTTTCAATAAAACAATCATAAAAGCTTTGGCTCATCAATAAGCCACTTTTTCTGCACAAATATCTAGTTTAAAAGAATTATTTGATTAAAATTAATATAATTGCATGCTCTTTTTTTAACTTTTGGTTACAGAACTGTTTATAAAGATGTTTGACAAAGCAAACATTCATATGAGCTAATATTAGTTTTTACAGACACATTAGTAAATTAAGTGCTACAATTTGGTTCCAGGACTGAAAAAATAAAATAGTATTAATATATTATGAAACAAAATCAAAAAAGTAAAGGTAATTTGTGTATAAAATTAACAATTTATGTGAAAAAGTTATTGATTTCAAAGTTATTATAACTACAAGTTGAAATGTATTTTTTTAATTGGCTATATTTAATCTGATCTTGAAAATCAAAGTGCAATTAATTTGGTTTATATGCTCTAATGGAGTACTAAAATTACACAAAAAATTTAATTTATTCACTCTTTTGTATATCAATAGAATTATTTTGTTTTACTTTCTAGTTGCACTGTTAATGAACAATTAACCAATATGTTACCATAATTAATTTTTCCTGTTCCAAAGAGCCAGTAATCAAATCTTAAGTTTGCAAAACAATAACAACAATTTTATGTATTAACACAGAATATTAATATAATATAAAGAACAGCAGTCAAAGAGAAGCTTAAGAAAGAATGGGTTAAATTCAGAAGTAGCAAAGCAAGAATGGTTGAGAAATATTTTTATTTTTTGTTATTTCTGAACAATTTAGCAGAAGTAAATATTATTATATCAGGACATTCAAGAAAACAGAATATTGTTTTTCTTATTTCTATCAGATTACACATCTACACTATATTCTTAAATACCAAAGAAAAATACCAGTGCATATATGGCTTATCAAACAACTGTAAAATGTTTCTTTTATGTGATATTAGAAAACTTGTGAACCAATATGAAAAATGTTTAGAGAAGCTAAATAATTACAGAGAAATAATTCAATTGTAAATTTCAATTTCAAAATAAAAAATTTTTAATATTTTGTCAATTTAATGAAAATACCTTTATTCCCATAGAATGAGCATTTAAACAGATGATAAATGATGATCTATTTATATATTTAAGGTTTAATATAGTTTCTTATTATAGTTTGTTTTGTTTTTTATTGTTTTTTTTTTTAACTATCATTTTATGTAGAAAAATTCAGTCTTAAATTAGAAGTTTGATAATAATTAGAACAAAAAAATTCTGCTTTATTCGCGCTCACTTGGATATCAGTTTCTTAAGTATTTTTGGGCAACCAAGCCCATCAGGAGATACACAAGTGTATCAGCTTGATAGTAAGTCAAGTGAAAGCTGTCAAGTTGATTCACTTGTGTATCTCCTGATGATGGGCTTGATTGGCTGAAACTAGTTGAGAAACTCTTATTCCAGCAAGCTCCAATAAAGCAGACTTTTCATTAGCAACTCTAAATTATCAAATATTATTGAGGATAATTACCTAAATGATGATGATATTTTTTCTTTAATCTTTTTTAACATTTTTATTTACAATTTTTTGTGTTAAATATTAAGAAGAAATAGAAAGAGAGGTAAATGAAATATAAGAACAACACACAATACTGGATATATAAACAGAAAGACTACTCACACAGACAACCAGAATTCAGCAAATAAACAGATGCATGAAGTCTATTTTATTAATGTAATCTAACATTTTCAGTCAATTAATTGACTGTCATGAGGATCAAACAATTTTTCGATTTATGATGAACAAAACCGCTTATAGAATGTTTTTAACTTCAAAAGTTTTCTCAACGCTATTGCACAAATCTGAAAATAGATAAAAATAGAATCTACAGATTGAAAATGTACCAATATACATATACACTAATTATACACACAAAAATAAAAGTAAAAATAAAAATTAATAATATTAAAGAAATAGATAAATGAATAGATAAATAAAAACAAGTGATGATATAATGGGCACCAACTAATGCCTCTTTTATCTGTCCATGCTTTTTTCTTTCGCTGGTATTTGTCATAAATTGAAAAATTGTTTAATCCTGATGAAGGTCAATTAATTGACTGAAAATGTTAGATTATGTTAATAAAATAGACTGCATGTTAAAGGTTGCTAAAGTGTAGTTATTTTTGAAAGTGCAGTTTGAGAAGAGATGCATGAATGTTTTCATCTACTTTCCAGCAGACATCATCAGGCATAACATTACAATTTATTAAAAAATTCTTCAATTAGAATGAATTGTAATGAATTCTTCATTACACATGCCTCATAGTAGGTGTGGCGCCTGGCTATTGGTGGATATATATGACGTTGCAGAATTTGGCTATTGGATGGAACATCATCAGATTGACATTGATGAACGTAAACCTTCCAAGCCTTGGGGAATGACTCTGCGTCCTTGTGGTTGATGGCACGTTTCCTTACAGTGTCCTTGTAGATCTCATGTCTCCAGGTGTTGTAAAAGCATCCTATCATATGCAGAGTGGAGGATCCTGGATAGATGAAAGAAAACTTTCACTCCCAATCTGAAGCATAAGATATGAGGGCAGTCTAATAACAGCCTTTTTTGATGTCCTCACAGTGTTCCTTGAGGCAGATTTGTACGTGCCTGCATGTAGCCCCAATGTATGCAAGGTGGTATCACATCTATGATCAGAACAAAGTACAGGGTGGTGCCAGTTTTTAGAGTCCTTGGCATTGTGAAGGAGAGAAAATATGGTAGGGCATTGCTTAAATGCCAAACAAAAGCTAGAAGATTTGGAAATTTCCCTGGGTGCTTGTTGTACATGACTGTTTTAAAGTCAATGTCTGTGGAGGGTGTGCTTGGGGCTGAAGCATACAAGTAGGCTTCATAGTGGGAAATGAGACTTTTAATAGATTTCCAAACATACATCCTAAGGCAGGCACTTGGTCACAGGATCAAGTGCCTAGCTTAGGATGTAATGACATTCTTTCTCCCTGTCCTGAATGTCAGAGTAATGGGTAAAAGTTCTTCGGATAAAAGTGTTAAATGCCACTAATTTGTAATGAAATGGGTCATGTGAGGTGGCTGCAATGAAAAAAGGATGGTAAGTAGGTTTTCTATATACACTAGTTTTGAAGTGCCAATGGTTGAGATGTGTATCCAGATCCAGAAAATGCCTGCTTTGCTCCAAACTGAGTGTGAGGCCAAAGTTGTGCTTGTACTGTTCTATGAGGTGAAAGTCTGGTTGGTGGTGCAAGATTATGAGTGTCATCTACATGTCTTGCATAAAGGGCGATGCAGTCACCAAAGTGCGGAAGAATCATGGCTTCTAAATTGCATATCACCAATTCACAGGGAGTGCCAGAAATTGGACTTCCCATCAGTACCCCTTTGTGTTAGAAGTAAATGAAATATGCTAGATGTCGCCAGAAAATTGAAAAAAGAAACATAGACTTTTTCTAGTACTTATGAAACCATGCCGGTAATTGTTATGCAATGTGAACACCAACTATATAGTGTATTCTCTTGAAAAGAAGTCAAATCTCATCATTAATTTTTATTTAGTCAACTAAATAAAAATTAATAATGAGATTTGCGTTGTGTCTGAGTGAATACACTATATAGTTGGTGTTCAAGTTGAAAACATAGACTTGATTTCTTTTTAATAAAAGGACATACAAGAAGAAAAGAATATTGACTGTCATATTTTCATACTTTAATATTATATTGTTAAATTAGAATTTACAGTATAATTCTAGGATCAAAGAAGCAAATGAAATAATGTAAAAAATTGAAGATATATTTTAATCCAAATTGGTATTCATAATATAATAAAGAATGCTAACAAAAATTTAAGAAGTATGAAAAGTGGGCAATTGTTATATATATCATTTCATTATAATTTTCTTAGTTTAGCTTCTGTTTTGAAGTAAAGAAGATTATACTAAGAAACTTTTATAAACATTTAGCAATATGGTAGATATTTTTAAATATAGTATGAGCCAACATTATGAATATTAATTACAGAAATATTGAATTAAAATAAAATAAATTTATGAAGTAATATAAAGATCTAACTCTACAAATATTTTTAGTACAGTAGAGCATCGATTATCCGACTCTCGATTAACCGTCACATCGGTTAACCGACCGTTCTAGTCGGCAAATTTCAAATGTTCGCTAGTGATGTGGCAGTACAATATTTGGCTATGTCTTGGCTACTTTAATATTATTTTTGTTAAAGTTTTGCGTGTTTTAGCTAGCAGCATCGCTCAACCATGAAAGGGAGGCCAGTATTTAAACGAGGCTTAATTTTCTAATTATGAGTGGTTGTTTGTTTCGTGAGAAATAAAATAATTTTAAAATAATTTTTAATGACACAATAGCGACGATTATTATTTAAAAAAAAAATTTGTTAGGCTAAACATCGATGAAAATTCAACGCAAAGTTGGTTAATAGCGATATACTAATAAACTAATTACATGGGATATACTAATATTCTAATATACTATACTAATAATGTATTTTTTTCCTTCTTTTCGGTTATTCGATTTTTTCAGTTATCCGACCAACCTGAGTCCCCAATTGAGTCGGATAATCGATGCTCTACTGTATATAGATTTTAAGAATTTTGTAATGACAATAATAATTGAATATTGTATTATAAATATTCCACTATTCATTATATATTCACTATTTTAAATTATATATTCTATATAAATAGACTGATCTTTTATATTTAACTAATATACTGTACAGTATATATTATCAACAATATAATGTATATATACATATATATCAAATTATATTAAACTGAAAAATTAAAGCTTATAAAGATGATAGAAGAATTTATTTACCTAATTTAACAAAATCTGTTTTGATTTTTAAGTATTTTTAATTTTGAGTATTTATCGATAAAATATGAATAATTTCATCTTTCTCTACCAGCATAAAAATTTACAGTATTTTCTCTTTTCAACATTTAATATTAAGTAATTCAGCTGTATTGTATTTTATTGACAATTTCTTACCGTACTTTTGTTTTTATAAATAATTTTTTTATCTAGACATTTTTAAAAATATTTTTTTACCCAATGTGTGTGTATAAATTCAACAAAAATAAAATATGATCTTTTCCTTTGATGTCTCACACTAATGAATAGCATATGTTCTAAGAAAATATCAAAATTCTTCATTTGCTGCTAAAATTTTGGATCTTTTCCATGAATATTTTGTTTTACTTCTTAAATATAAACTTCTCTCTGTTTTTATTTTTCTTATTTTTTTTTCTTTTAAATTAAAAATCTGTGTAGAATTTATCAGAGTTTAGTTAGAAATGAAATTTTTATTAAATAGAAATAAAATGAGTTAGACACTAATGTCATTTTTAAATTATATTTATCTTACTAAATTATATCAACAAAATTAATTGGCAGATTGGCAACTTTTCCAATAGTTTCATAACGGTGTTCTGTTTGTTCTACTGTTTGCTTATTAAAGAATGACAGAGACTAGTTTACACTATAAAAAATGACAGACCTCATTTTGCAATTACATTCCATTCTGTTTTGCAGAGTCATGTTATTTTTACCCTATATAGTTTGATGTGTATTCCTAAAAATTTTTGTTTTTTTTTATATACAAAAATAATCAGCATCTTCTTTACTGACTTTGTATACTGTTAAAAGAATATTTGGGAACAATTTGTAAATATAGAAAATTTAAAAATATCCAATGGTTGAGATGTGTATCCAGATCCAGAAAATGCCTGCTTTGCTCCAAACTGAGTGTGAGGCCAAAGTTGTGCTTGTACTGTTCTATGAGGTGAAAGTCTGGTTGGTGGTGCAAGATTATNAAATGTTTAACTAAAAAATAATGCACTTATTTTTCTCTTTTCAGAATATTTCTAAGGAGAAATTTCAAAGATTATTCAAAGGTTTAGCTAAAAATACCCATTTGAAGTCTTTAAGTGTAGCCAATACAGGTCTAACTGATAGTCCTACTGAGGTATTTATTTATTTTACTAAGAAATAATAAAAAAATACTAATATAATATTATTTTTAAATGTTAGATATTGCTGTAATTTATTATTTAATTTTAAAATATGTATGTTGAGTAATTGAATTCATATTAAGAATGATAATACATATATATATATATATTATTTAGTGTAATACTGGTGGATGATATTATATGCTATAAATTCAAGAATAGTATAACATTAAATAATGTATATGTTAAAGGATAATTTAGCTACTATTTTATTTAAATTATTGATATATAAAAAAATAAGCTTTTATTAAGAAAATTAGTAAAGAATTGTTGTTTTCAATATTATTAATGATCAATTTATGTAATTTTTGTTTTTTGTTTTATACTCTTACTAAATTATTGCCTTCATTATATTTCTATAGTTGCTTGTTGAAGCTTTAAAAGAGAATACTGCTTTAATAATCTTAAATGTAGAATCAAATTACATAAGTAATATTATGGTAAAAAATATTATTGAAGCCATTAATAAGAATCAGACTGTGATAGAATTTCGAGCTGCAAATCAGGTATGCAATTGTTTAAATATAAATAAACCATTAAGAAAATGTATTTTAGTGTTTTTCAAAATATTATTTATTTAACACAAGAATTCAGACATTTTGCAAACATTCACATAATTTATTATTACAGTATCCACTATTAACATATTTTGAATCAGATCTCTAATCATAAATATTTCTTATAGAAACTATAAACATTTTATTTATCAAAACATGGCAAATCAAAAATAATTAAAATATTACATTCTTATACGTTTTTTAATATTAATTACTAATTTTTTACTGTTTTGAAGAAAAAAAATTTTGATACATTCAGATATGTCTTTTATTGAATAGAATATTAAGTTTTATATAAGTATAGTAATTTAAAATTGAAAAATATAAAAAGAGCAGATGTATTTATTAAATTTAATCAGATAAATACAAAATCAATAAAAAATATTCATGGATTTTTAAAATTAGACAAAGTTTTGACTTAATTATTTGATTTTTGCAAGTTAATTACATTCATTTATTTCATTAATTTGTTTTTTTTTTTTTGAATTTATTAAAATTTTGATATGTTTAATTTAACAGGGTTGCAGTGTTCTTGGGAATAAATTAGAAATGGAAATTGCAGAATTAATTGAACATAATAATACAATGTTACGATTAGGACTGCACTTTGAAATCACAAATGCATGTATGAGAGTTGCAGAACAGTTGCAGATAAATTATGACAAAGGTAAACATTTTTTAAATGATTATCTTTAACAATATAAAATTGTAATGATAAATTCCTTTAATTTTTATTCTAGTTCGAGTTAAAAGAGTGGGAGATGACAAATAATTGGTATAAAATTTTATTTATTATATCAAATAAATTTGTGAATTTTAGACTCTAAGCAAATATTAACACTGTTTTAAAAATCTATGGAAATATTTTGTATGTAAATACAAAAGTTTTTACATCTGCAAATGAGAATACTTGATGCAGTCAAAGTATCAATTACAATATTTTGTTAGAAATACCATAAAGGTGCCTTATACATAAATTTGTTAATCTGTATAAACAGTATTTTGTTTTCAATAAAAAGAAAATAATATGAATTTGGTGTATTACTTCAATAAACATGAGTAGTATTGTAATATTTACCCTAAAAATTCTTTCTTCTTGAAAAGAAGTTTATAAATATACGAAAAGTTTCCAGCCTAACTATATTTTAGACATGATAGGAATAAAATAACAATAGTATCAGATAACAATATCTCTATGTGAACTAATAAAACAATTTTTCCTGCCAATTTGCATAAGTCACTTGAAAACATTCATTTTAGTTAGAATTGTTACATTAGTTTGCATCATGTTCTCCTCTTGCAGGACAATATGCTAGTACACTGCCAAGGCTGCTGTAAAGGAGTGTGGGTTTGAGGAGCTTGACATCCTCCCCTCCATGGACCTGCTCCTAGTGATTATTATCTTTTTCTAAAACTCAAAAAACGCCTTTAAAAAAAGTGATGAAAAGTTTTAGGAGAAAGTTTATGAGCACTTTGTAGACAAAACTGCAAACTATTTTTTAAAGGGAAAATTCTTGAAAAAATAGTCTGCAGTTTTGAAATGCAAATTCCAAGATGTAATAAGTGTGTTGAACTACAAGGAGACTATATTGAAAAATGACATAATTGTTTTATACCTATAAACTCTAAAACCTAGTTAGGCTGGAAACTTTTGGCTTCTACCTTGTAAAATGTAGGTACAAAGTAATCATAAATGTACAAACACAAATAATAAATGCTACAATATGTTTTATGAATTTCATGTTGTAATATTATTTATTTTTATGTAGGTATTTGTAATGATAATGATGCAATGCTTATTTAATGCTCAATAATATACTCCATAACATATATGAATTTCATGCAATTATATTACAACATGTGGTATGGAAGTTGAAAGATAGAAAGATATATATGAAATAAATAATATTACAAGAAATAATTTTTAGGTGAACTTTTATGTTTAGTATATTAAATCAATTTGGAATTTTAGAATTTGTTTTGAACTTTGTCAGTTAGTAATAGATATACATTAATTATATAAATATATAAATTTTTTTAAGACATATTTTTTTCTTATTAAAATTAATTTGGTTATTAAGTAATAAATTCTTAGTAGAATTTCTTCCCAAATATTATCTTTAATTTTCTAAGTTGGAATAAACTATTCAATTAAGTGCTCTGTGCTGTTTTAAAGTTCAAAGTCCTCATTTTGATTATTTACAGAAAAATCTTCAATTGAAAAATTAATAATAATAAAATAGTGACGATTTCATTTTAAATATTTACAGAGTACTGAATTTTATTAAATCTCATGATTACATTAGAAAAAATTGTATTTACATTAAGTTTTTAAAGAAAATAATCTCTAAAAAATTAATTTTTAAGTTCAAACATAACATTTTTTTTAATGTAATAAATATAAATTTCTAAATTACATGATCAATCATTCTAAATTTCTATCACATTTTTAAAAAATAAAAGTTTTATTTAATATAGTATGCTGCTACTACCAGAATCATTAATTTGTTTACTTGCTGTAGTTTTAAAAAATTTAAATTTGAAATTTTAAACATTTAATGCTCACATATAGACAAAGATAAGATTTTATTACTATTTTGATTTTGATAATATTAAAAAGTAATTTTATTATTTATTCATGACTATTGCAACATGCTATGATAAAAACTTTTAATCTAAGTTAAACTTATTTAAAAGTGTACATTTTGTATGTTTTAGTCAAAATTAATTTTATTTTGTATTCCCTGTAGGAAAAAAATAAGGTATTCTACAGCATAAATTGATTTGTAAATTTACAAAAAGTTAGAAAAGATTTTCACATTTGATAATTTTAAAATAATGTCACAAACATTTATAAATAATTAATAAAGTAGATAAAAATTTATCTGATTTTTGTGAACTCAATTTCTTGATAATTGTTAAATTAAATTTTCAACAACTTAGAACTGGGTCTAACATGTTAAATGTTAGATTTAGTTTCCTTCATTTATACATATTTTAATATCAAGTAATCAGATTCTTGTACGTTGTATTGTATTCCTTACATGCTATATTAAAATTAGGTCTAAATAATCATTTAATAAATTTTTTATTTCTTTTTTAAGCAATTATAAGAAAAACAAAGTTAAATGTAATTAAATACTAAAATATTTATCAAAAAATTTAACTTGTTTTGCATATTTTCAAAAAATTTCAAACCCTCAAGTAGAAATTTAAATATTTTAATTAAAAAGATACATGCAACTTTAATCAACTTGTTTATCTAATAAGTAAATGTAGATATGAAAAAACTATTTTTATAAATCATAAGAATATTCCAAAACTTAATATATTTTTTAAAATCCTCTCTAATAAAAAAAAAATTTAAATTTACTACACACTAAAATGGAGAAATACGGTTTGTAAGACTAATCGCTCAATTATGTATCTCTTCTAAAATAAATTAAATTTTAATCATTTGGGGATTTACTAAGATTTCGAATGCTTCGTATATAAAATTGGGAGTTAAACGCAAATTAAATCACATCTCGACAACATTTAGAGGTAAGTGCACGTTATTTAACAATTTCTTTGTAGCTAGTAAAGAATGTAGGTCTACCTATTATAAGATGGTTTAGTTTAATGAGAAAAATCAAGAATCGAGAGAAATTTATTGTAACGACTTTAATGGTAATTAAATAAATCAGTTTAAGATTCATCCTGATTATATCAGACCGTTTAACAATTTTGTATGCAGTTGCGAAGCCGTTCTTGATGAATATTCCGTAGCTTTCTTGTAAAGAACGAGAGCTTTTTCTATGTTTTGCTCGATTCCTGCACCACGATGATAACATCTTCCTAAATAAAAATAAGCGATGCATAGACCTTCCACGACACTTCCGAAAGAGCATTCCGTGTTTCTAGATACCTCCAAAATATCGAAATATTTACAAAGTTGTTTACCTAACTGTGCCGTACTTTGATAGAGTCTACGCTGGTAATAAAATACCATCATTTGAGCCATAGCCATTACACTTCCTCGGTGCGAAGCGCTGGAAAGATACTTATAAGCGATATATTCGTTTTTCTCGACCCATATACCATAAAAGTACATAATACCGAGAGCGGTTTGTGATTCTAAACTTCCATTTTCACAAGCTTTCGAATGCCAATAAAAACTTTTGTCTGGGAAGAAATAGAGCCTTCTGGAATAAAATTTTCCAAGAGCCGATTGTGCTCTGATTGCTCCCGGATTGCGTTTCTTTAAAGCTGCCTTAAGCCACCATTTTTCCGCTTCGGCATCGTTGTTAAGAGTTCCAGTACCGTAAAAATACGCTTCGCCTACATTAAATTGAGCTTGTACGATAAAATCTTCTTCTTCTTGTGGATAAGACTTCATCAGCCCAGTGCGTATCATAATTTGTAACGCTTTGGCTTGATCTTTCTGAACCGCTAGACCATCAAAATAGAGAACCCCTAACGTAAACATTGCTTCCGCACTACATTCTTTATTAGGGATCTTCTCAATCATAAATCTACACATAGAATATTGTTTTAAATCAAAATGTTCTCTAGCTAATCTCAGTGCTTCTAAACATATCTTTTTCTTCCTTATTTTATCTTTTTCGCAAGAATAATCAATTTTAAACGGTCGCTTAGTATCAATTTCTCTTAAATCCAAGCCGCCATCATAATCCGATGATTTTTCTTTGGATTGTTCCTTGTTCATCTCGGCTTCTTCAAATTCTTCAGCCATTTTAGAATTCGCCTTTTACGTATTTTAAATTATCGAATATAATTTACTTCTCGTTAAAATACGCCAATAGAAATTGAATAAATAATTTTTTTTAATATTTACTGTAATTATTTTTCTAAATTTACAGTTCAGATATGAAGAGTTTGCATCTGTTATTGGTTCTGACAATTGGCTTCATCTTAAAATTTCCAATCAGATGCATGGATTGGAACTCTTTGACACCAGAAGATCGTTTAAATCTGATGAGATACACCTTTCCAAATACGATTTCGGCTTCTGATATTACAGAAAAAGAGACAAATGACGAATTGACAAAAAATAATTGCGTGGGTTGTCATCACAAACGAGGTTTCGGGGAGAAAAGAGGATTTGGAGAGAAACGAGGATTTGCAGAAAAGAGACAATTCGATAATAAAAGAGGATTTGGGAATAAACGTTATAATCCTTTCCAACCTTGGGATCCTTTACTTAATTCTTATCTACACATGTTGAATGGAGGAAATATCTTATCTGTTCCTGACAAGAAATAAATTTATTCAAAATCTCCTTCTGTATGTAAAAATAAATGAAATGGAATAAAAATAATTTGTATTGGCATTATAATAAAATAATGAACCAAGATTTCTTGCGTTACATTAATTAATGTAAATAAATTCTCTATTCTTTAATTAATTCAAATTTTAGTAGCTTAAATTACAATACAATAGCATTTAATTCTACTCTTTAATCACAAAATAAATTAATTTTACAAGTAAGCCATAAACCTCGTAAAATCAGTAATAAACTTTACTTGAATGTCTTTAAATGTTTGTTTGATGAGAGTATTCAAAGAAAGTATTTTCCAATGGTACAGAGCATTGTTTTAGTATAATTAAAATCTTTTAGAAATTAATTATTTTAAGAAATGAAAAATAATGAAGTCTGTCTTATTACTACACATAATTAAAATAATTATTCACTCAAATTGGAAATAATATATTAAATATTTGATAATCTAAGCCAGATTGGCGGAGAGCATTCTTAAAAAACATGTTTTTTTTTTTACCGGTTAAGGTTTTAAATTTTTCTTTTTTCCCAAAAAAAGTCAATAAAAAAGTTATAATTTCTTTCGAAAATTTCAATCTTATCACGAAAAGTTTTTGAAATGTAATTCCCTAATGTAATGATTTCTTGATAATGAATTTTAAATAAAAAATATTATAAGGTTTTAAAACCTCATTTAATTCCATTAAGTAGTAATCTTATGATTGATAGTTTTTTTTTAATTTTTATCGTCTCATTATTCAGTTTCCTGTATTCTTTCTGAATAGATAATTAACGAGAGGCAAATTTAACAACTGACAGGATGATTATTATATGAAATTTATAAAGCATTTAAAGGAACATTGTATTAATCTGTTAAAATGATTAATTAAAAAATGAATTTAATTATAAAATTTACGATAAACGAATAAAATCCTTTTGGAATAAATATATTTAATATAAAATTCGATAAAGTCATTTATTCTGTAAACAGTTTTTATTACTCATTTCCTTTCTGATAACCTGAATAAAATAAATTTTTCAAAAACTGTTCTTGAAATTATTAATTTAACGACATAAAATAGCAATTTTTAAGCTTTATAAATATCATTTTTAAAAAAAAATTATTTAATTTACGCATTCTTTTTAAATGAATTACATTTGTATTAATTGCCACTGCAGAAGGAAGTTCATAAAAATTATAACGAGACTATTTTTTTCTTATTTAAATAACATTATCTTATCTAAATGCATTCGAATTCGTTTGTCGTCATTTGTTATCATTCTTGTGGATTAGACAAACAGTGTCAACAGGATGCGACAGGTAACTAAATGGACTAAACGACTAAACTACTACTCAGGTAAGAGAAATTAACCGTTTGGCGCAATTTACACTATATTTTATTTGTAAAAAATTCAAATTTAATATTTGAATTTTGTTTAGATTAATATAATAAATATTTTATAATTAAGTTATTTAATTAGTAGAATTAATCAACCTACTTTTTAAAAATTGTTTACAACCTGTAGAACGAATCTGTTAAGTTCTTAAGGCATAATACAGCTTTATAAATTGGAAATTGTTTAAATTATGTTAATTTTTGTTATAATTAAATAAAGGAAGAGGAAAGAAATTACTTGAGAATTTATAAGTATTCGAAAATATTAATATTTTGAACTTATTACGGCATAAAAGCTAAAGTGTACTCATTTATAAATAAAATTTTTGCTCGGTTGTCATATTTTAGGTGGTAATTCACGAACGAAAGAGAAAAATGCTTTTCGGAAGTAAATATTCGAGAATTCGAGAAGTTATACTGTTAAGAGAGCTATCCATAGACAGTGAAAAAGATAATAACTGTCATGGAGTTGCTCTCTTTATTGTGTAACTACGTATCAATTATACCTTTGAAGAATTTGGAGAATTTGAGGTAATGAACAATCGACCTTCCGACATTTTTATCGATTTTTTTTTTTTTTTTTTTTTGTTAACTAAAGATAAAATGAGTTACTTGTGGTAATCTCTGTTGTAAATAGTTCTGTTCCCAGAAGAAATTTATAACTGATAAGACTCATTTACTGGGTTAAAACTTTGATATGATATATTGCTTATTTAAACCTTTAAGAATAAATTGCTTTTAAATTCTTTATAGTTTTATCAGATTCTTTGAAGAAAATACTTTATTACTTTATTTAATAAGATAAAAATCTTCATGTAGTCGAAATTATCTTCAACAAATAACACGAACAATTTCTAAACAGTCGAAAATTTATTAATACAATTTGAAGTTTACATCATTTTAAATATTTAAATATATTTCTCCTTTCGTTTTATAGAAATATGTTTAAATATAATCATTTATTTTTCGTAACAATGTTCTATCATCAAGTTTAATGAGCTACAGGCACCAAGTTTGTATTTTCTGATGATACAAAAAGAAGAACAATTAATTTCTTTACTAGTAATTAAACCATAACATTCAACATTCAACTGGTATATAACATATAGAGATTTGGAAATATCTGGAGATGTACAACATTTTCTTTTACTAAATATTTCTAGTTCAAATTTTAAATATTCTAAAATATTCTAGTTTATTTACATAGTAACCATTATAATTATAAAAATAATTATAGGTTTATATTCTTTAAACGCGACAAAATATCTTCCATTATTTATAACTTTTTCTTATCTTTTTATAAATTTCTGGTTGACAAAATAAAGCTAATTGCAATTTACAACTACATTAAATTTAAAAGCGTGTAAAACTAAATGAACAACAGCAATTATTGCTTCATTTATCGTGTTTAAATCTATCTCACAGAATAGAATTATCGGTTTTTTTTCTCATCATCCATGACGAATGAATGAAGACTAAATTTTAAAAAAACAAAACAAAAATACTGCACATACTTATCGAGAATTAACGTGTTTCCGTACACGAAAGTTACTGTTCATTATTCTGATGATTAGTTTTGCTTTCAGCTCGGATGAACTGTTGAAGGAATCATGGTTTGGTTGTTTGTCTCGGCTTCGGTTGAAGTAGATGTTCCTGACGATGTTAGACCTCGAAACATCTCTTCGTTTTCTTTACGAACTGAAAAAAATTAAAAAAACAAATCTGTTGGTAATCGATTTTTAATGCATATACTTGTAAGAAAGGCCGGCTCTAGCTTATTTGCTGCTCCATGACTTTAACTTAACGTAAAGTAAAACTAACGTGACTTTTAAGTCAGAATAAAAGTGCACACACCATTTCCCTTCATTAGATTACTACTACTTTACTTTTGCATTTTATCGCTCCCAAAATTTCACCTCTCTAGATAACTGCCTAATGAGTGCGTTATCCTATGGCTAAGTGGAATTGCCTGGGGCACTCACCAACTGGGGGCCCCCAACCAATCATTTATAAGAAAATATTTTTCCCCAAAAATACCTCGAGAAAGATGTCTGAAGTCAATACTGTACTAATTCAAATTTGCCTGGGCTCCCACGAAGCTATAACACGCCACTGAGTATGTATAAAGACGAACGTATAAATCTGTTAATGTATTGATTTAACACGAGATATTTATTAACTATAATTAACTACGTTATAAAGTTGTCGACAAGTTCGAATCATATTACTATAGATCCAAATGTAAATTTTGCATTTAATTATAGTATCTCGAATGGGAGTGATCATATAATATTTGAACTGAAGAGAGGAATTAACGGAACTTTCACGGTTAACCGAGTTTGACGATCATCATTAAACTTCGGCTTTAAGATTATTTGAATTGAATTTTTTCAAGAAAGTATTCCCAGAGGACTACTAGAACTTTAGTAGACGACTTTGAGTGTGAAATAAAAATAGCAAAGAGTAATAAACAAACTTTTATCATCCTCTTAAACTGTGTTTATTAACTGAAATAAGCCCTTTTAAAAATTTTTTGAAAATCAATATGCAGTTTGAAGAGTTTTAAAATTATGTTTTACATTAAAAATTATGCTTTTATGATTAAACTATAATGGAATTCAATCTTTAACCTACAAACTACTATTAATTATAATAAAAGTGACGATAAAATTTGATGACAAAATACATTTACTTATAAGTTATTCTACTTAGATAATTCGAGTAGAATTTATAAAGCGAAAATATAATTTGTCACTTATAAGAAGAATCTATATAAAGTAATTCTACATGACACTAATGCGTTTTGATACCATCCACTTTTACAAATTTCACCGGCGAGGTTTTTCCTTCCACCTTTTTTAAAATAAACAGAGAAAAATGACATGATTACCCTATGGTATTCTTACATTTAAGTCGGATTCCGTCAAAGGAAATCATTGATCGACAGCTGATGTCTGTCCGTCTTTGTTTCTCAAATTCAATCAATTCACTTAAAAATTTTCTATTTAATTCCTTTTTATTCAATTCAATAATATTTAATAAGTACAGTACATCATTAAAGTTTTCTTTAAGAATCAAAGAAATATTCAAGAAACTGAATACAAAAATATGTTAATTCTTTATCATAATTACACAAAATTCATTTTCCTTAATCATTTATATTCTTAGAATTTGTATCAGAGTTTTAGCTTAGAATATTATATTAATAGAAATTTCAATTAAAACTCGCTTTATCAGCGAGTTTTAATTGAAACTTTCCATGTTAGCAATTAGGAAAATTACTTCACTGTATCCATTTCTAACAAAGGAAAAAACTTAATTTAAAACTAGTTTAATTTCACTGAAAAATTTTTTATTAACGAGAGAGAATGTAAAAAATTCCGAAAATAAATTAGATATTATGATTAAAATCGAATTTAACGAATAGAATTTAAATATAATTAATTCTGGATAGTTTTTATTTATTTTTTTAAGTTTCGCTATAATTTTAAAGAAAGTCTTCTCTGAAATCTATAAAAAATACAGTTAAAAATAACAGCTAACTTGTGCAATATTTTGTCTCTTTCACAACTTAAAAAGTAATCACTTTCAATAAAATATACATAGGTTTCTGCTATATTTAAGAGTATAGTATATATGAATTGATGAAGAACATTGAAAGAAACAATTGTAAGGAACCGTTTTATTGATCCTTTTTTGTAACCATGAAAAGAAAAATGGAAGAATATTTGCTTTTTTTATACAATTAACAATATTTAATAATAGCTGCAATTAAAATTCTCCTTCACAAAACTATAGTTTAATTGCAGAAACTTTTCCTTTCAATCTTAAGTTTATTCTTATTAAATTTTAATTAATAAATTTAGAAATATTTTATATAAATATATCTAAATAAAATATTATTAAATGGAGTCTTTTATGCTACGTAAACTGTAATGAATATTTTTTATTTATTTATTTTACGTTTATAACCCGATAAGTCTGCAAGCTTTCACCATCTCATCAATAACACATTGATTCGACAGGGAATTATACTTTTTTCTTCAGAACTAATCGCATCTTAATCACAAATAATTGAAGGGTGAGAAAATGCTCAGGTTAATGCCTTCTTCACTTTAAAAATGCTTCATTAATAAATTGGCTCAAGCCTCTTGCATTTATTTTTAGAAAAATGATTATTTTAGGATTGAAAAGAAGAAATTACACGAAAAATTTTACTGAAAAAATTAACTTTTTAAAGTCAAATACATTTTAAATATTATTTTTAAAAAACATTTTAATTAAAAGAACACGATAAAATGTAATTATAACAACTATTCGTTATAATGAATTTTGGGTAATTATTTTTTAAAAAATTGATAATTAATTATTTTAATTATATAAATTTTAAATGTTAAATTGAAAATATATGTTGCCAAAAATTACACGTGAATTATAATTCATTTTTCTTAAATATACATTTTAATTTATTAAAATCTCGTAGGCAAATTTTAAATAGAAAATTTTATAAAATTTAATTTATAATTTTATTATTTTTTCAACAATCATTATTAAATTGTGAAAGATTGTGAAAAATTTTAATTTATAATTTAATTAAAAAAAATAACTAAATTTCTCTTCAAAATTAACAATTATTAAATTAAATTTCATATTTTTACATTAAAATAGTAACAAAATTTCTTATTAACTAATCAATGATTAATTAATTATAATTTATAAGCATGTAATATAAAAAAATCACTTTATAGTTTTTTTATATTATGTAGTGATGATGTTTATAATTAATTACACAGTAAAATTATATAATTTATTTATTTTTCGAAGCGTTACTTATAAAATACGAATCAACACTTTCGATTTGGGTGTTGAAATGTTTAAAACAATAAATCAAATATATTTCTTGTAAAATGAAATATCCCAGTTGTGTTTTTAAATCTTAACATCTATAATTTTACTTTGTTGTAAGTTTATCTTCAATTTAATACATAATAAACTTTCATTTTTTAAATATAAAAGTGATGATGTAGCAATTTTTAAACACAAAGCCACTTTCATGTGATCAAAATTCTAATTAATCACGCATCCAAGCAAGGAAAAAAAACTTCTATATTTTAAATAATTTCTGCTTTACCATTGGAAGGTTATGATTAAATATTATCCAAGTTCTATAACTGAATAATTGCTACCTTTCAACCCGTTAATTGAAGCGAAAGATAATACGATTCTCTAATAACTATTCGGCTAAACAGACGTTTAATGGAGCGAAACACATTTTAAGTTCTCGTTAATTAACTATTTCAATAAAGTCTACGAAAAAAAAAAATAATAATAAAAAATTCATTTGTCTTATAAATTGCATCGGACTATTTTTAACATGAAAGGCAGAAGATTCTTTTAATGAGGTAAAAAAATAAGTTTAACGGATCGAACGTTCGGAACGATAACAACATTGGTTAAAGAACTTCACAGAGAATTAATGAGAACTTTATATAATGTATTTTTATTTAGAAAAAGAAAACTGTAAGACGTTAAGAAGTATGTCAATGTCAGAATTTAGTGAAAGAAAAAGTCAGAGATACGACAAAGAAGAAAATTGAGTCAGCACTTTCTCTCTAAACTCATTCATTCTAAAGAATATGCATTCTCGTGTCACAGTATCCAGAAGTTTTTTTAAACTAGAAAATACACATTTATACTTTTGTTATTTTTCTGAATATAAAAATAATCCAGGATAAAATTTACATTCTTGAAAAAAGTATGACTTCAACTTCTACATTAATAATTCTTACTGTATTTTTATCCATGAAAATTCGAGAAATTCTTATTTAAAAAATAAATAAATAAAATTCCTGAAATTTTATTTTTCACAATTTTGTGAATTTTCATTCTTGAAACCAGTAAAATATTATAAATATAAGAGAAAATATTTATATAATACTATTATCAAAAACTAAAGTTTTGACTTAAAATAAGAATAATTCGATTGGAAATCATTATTATAATCGAAGACCAATTTATGTACGAAATTTCGCCAATAAAAATAATTAGAATTGATTTTTTCGACAAAAAATTATAATAAAAATTTCATTTATTTAATCTTTGTTTTAGAAATTCCTTAAGTTTATAAGAATTTCATTTTAAAACAAACTGAAATGGAATTTATTTATTCGGATAACGAATATTAGCTTAACATTACTTTAATATTAATAATAGTGAATATCATCTTGACATTAAAAGAATGTACAATATAAATTTTAAATTAGTAATAAAGAAAGTATGTTTTCTTATGAGGAAAATGTAAGATATATATACATATATATATATTAAGCAGAAGAAAAATAGTTTTGAGTATGTCTCTAGACCAATAAGGAAAAAAAAAATGATAAAGAAAATAGAATTTCTATTTACAATTTTTATGTATAGAACAAGTAGCAGATCCTGTTGAAAAATGCAAGACACGTATCTGGCTAGCTTTGTTGTCGGTCAGTGCAACTCACTAGGCAACAACCTAAGGCGTTACAAATTCTAAAGAAAAACAGATAACAGTTACAAAGAGTTATAATAAGTATTCTTTATTAAGAAAGAAGTTTTTAAAATATAATAATAAATATTAAAATGTCCAAGTTACAGATTAGTATAAGATGAAAAATTGGTAAATAGAGACACATAGAGGCAGTTGGTGAAATCTGACTCCTAAT